AGCGGTGGGGTGGCGGATAAACAGGGAGCGGGGAGGGGGGGGGGGGGTTTTCCGCTTTTGGGGGCCCCTGCGCGCGCCCCCTTTTTTTCCTGAGGGGGGGGTGGGGGGGGACGGGGGGGCCCCCGCCAGCCGGTTTGGGCCTGCTGTCTTGTGAAAGAAGAGAGTCGCTTCTGGGGAGAGCGGTTCACGTTTTGGAGAGGGGACGAGACCGGGAATTTTTCCCCCTGGTGCGCGAATGGTGCGGCCCTGAGCGTGTCCCGGAGCCAGCCCGACGTGTCTAAGGCCCGCGGAACGCGGGTTCTGTGAAGAGACGTGGAGAAGGTTCTATACCGAGGAAAGGAGCGCGATTGAAAGGGAGCGAGGCCGCTGAGGGGGGAGGGGGCTGCCAAGATGGCGTCCGCCTCCTCTGGGCCGTCGGCGGCCGGGTTTTCATCCCACGATCCCGGGGTCCCTGCCAGTACCTCAGGTGAGCCAGCTGGGGCGCGGGCAGCGGGCTGGCGAGGACCGGGCGAGGGGAGAAGAGCGAGCCCAAGGAGGGCACCTGTGGCTGGGGTGTCCGAGGCTTGTCCCCGAGGAGGGCGCGACTGGACTTGGAAATGGACGATTTCCAGCGGGCGGAGGAGTGAGGCAAGGGAAGCTGTCGAGAACACTGACTGACCTAGAGGAGACTACGGTGGGGACTTTGAGGAGGAGGGATGGAGATAAAAGAAACGGAAGGGAGTAGAGACACCAAGGCAGGTGGAGGCCGGCGGGGATAGCTTAGTAGTAGCATCTTCTAGCCCGGGTCGGGCCCTGGGCCCAGTCCCCAGGACCGAAATAAAGTAAGATCAAGTAAATGGAGGCCTGGTAAGTAGAGAGCGTCTTGCTTGAGGTAGAGGCCAGGTTAATTGTGGAGTGAATTATATCTAAGTGTTGGAGAGACACTGAGGAGGGATTGGGCTCTTTTGACAGTTGAGGGGTTAGAGAGCCCTGAATTTTATTGGGGGTAAGAGTTACTGGAGTGTCTTTCTCCTCAGACTCCCCCTAATGCGTCATTCTTTCTTCAGGGGCGCAGACACATACGTATTTTCTCAAACTAACCTAACCTTTTATCGATTCTCATCTCTATAATGCTCAGCTTTGGAAAGGAGTGGGAGGTTTTTGTGGTTTCGCTTTGAATTATTTCTGATTAGCAGATTAATTTATTTTTGAGACAGGGTCTCACTATGTAGCCCTGGCTGGCTTGGCTTTGTAGACTCGTTTTGTACACCAGGCTGGCCTTGAACTCAAAGAGATCCGCCTTCCTCTGCCTCCCAAGTGCTGCCGCTAAAGGTGTGAGCAACCACACTGTTTTGTATCTTGAGACAGGATCTTCCTATTGAGCCCTGGCTGGCCTGAGGTCCTTGGTGCTGGTATTACAAATGTGGACCATCACATCCAGCGCTAGGGGGAAATTTTGAAGTCTAAAGGATCAGAGGCAGATTAAAGTCATCCCCCCGCCCCCGAAACAAAACAAAACAAAACAAAACAGGTGGAGAAATGAAGTGGAGGCTTGATTTGTAGTAGGGTCTGAGTTGGGTCTGTAGTTAGGCCTCAGAAAGAAAGATGGGTGGGTGTGTGTGACTCTTATGTGCTATGGGGGAATATTGCATAATAGGAAATAGACTGGAGGAATGCTTAGGATGTATCAGGAAACTGGAATTTGGAGAATGGAGCCAGGGAATATAGAAAGCTCAGAGTTGTTAGAAACTAATAAAGATTAAGGGCTTAAGAGACTCATAAAGAAAAGCAACAGATTGTGTGTAGGAAGGAAAATGTGTGTATGGAGTGGGGGTGAGTCAGAAACTGTTCTGGAGGTTCTATCAGAAATGTCTGGTGTTGGGGCTGGAGAGATGGCTCAGCAGTTAAGAACACTGGCTGTTCTTGCAGAAGACCTGGCTTTAAATCCCAGCACCCACATGGCAGCTAATGGGGATCCGACAGCTTCTTCTATTTGTGGGCATTGCATGACATGGGTGCACTTACCTACATGCAGGTAATACACACATACACATAAAAATAATAAATGGGGGCTGGAAAGATGGCTCAGCAGTTAAGAACACTGGTTGTTCTTGCAGAAGACCTGGGTTCAAATCCCAGCACCCACATGGCAGCCAACAACTGTCCGTTAACTCCAGTCCCAGGGGATCTGACAGCCTTTTCTGACCTCTGAGGGCATTGCACGACACAGGTACACTTACCTACATGCAGGCAATACACACATACACATAAAAATAAATTTTAAAAAGTTAAAAATAATAAATAGCCAGGCATGGTGGCGCACGGCTTTAATCCCAGCATTCAAAGCCCAGCACTCGGGAGGCAGAGGCAGGCGGCTCTCTGTAAGTTCAAGGCCAGCCTGGTCTACATAGTGAGTTCCAGGACAGCTGGGGCTACAGGGAGACCCTGTCTCAAAAAGACGAAAAAAAAAAAAGACGACAGACAGACAGACAGACAGACAGATAGATAGATTAAATATTTTTCTTTACTCTGTGAGCCAGAGAAGCTTCTGGATGTTGGATTCTTTTCTTGAGAGTTTGGTCTTTCCTGAGACCTGGGATTAAGTCCTTATCATTTTGAATTGGCTAAATAGAGGGTTCCATTTTAAACATTCTAGTTTAGATGAAGGGAAACTGCCACGGATAACCTTCTTCATAAGCTGCAGTTTTATTTATGTGCATCTATTTTTAGTTTCTTGGAGAGGTGATTTTTGCCTTTCCTCTAAAAGCATCAGAGAGCCATTACAACTCATATTGCACTTTAAACATGAAAAAGAATAAAGTAAAAGTGACAATTTTTCCCTATTCATTTAACTATTATGTGTGTGCATGGTTTGTGTGAGAGAGTGGTGTGTGAGTGCATGTATGTGTGTGTCTTGTTTGTAGGTCAGAGGTTGACTCCCTCCTCCCTTTAAGTGGGTTCTAGTTATTGAGCTCAGGTTGTCAGGCCTGGGTACCAAGTACCATTGCCCTTGAGCCATACACAGGTACACTGGCTTCTTCATTTGCAATCTCCTTGTATTCCCTGATAAAGCATTCTTAGGTGTCCTTAAACAAGCCTTCTACCTATCAAGTCAGGTAGTATCTCTGTTAGGAGCCAAATTAAATCCTCCTCCCCCTTTAAAAATACTTTTATTTATTTTTATTTTATGTGTGTGAGTATACTGTTTGCATGTATATATGTGCACCTATGTTGTGCAATGCTCTGGGAGATTAGAAATGGGCATCAGATTCCCTTGGAACTGGAGTTACAGGCAGTTGTATGCTACCTGACGTGGACACTGGGAACTGAACTAAGGTCCTCTGGAAGAACAGCAAGTACTTTTAACCTCTGAGCCAGCCCTCTCTTAGGTTTTTTTGAAGCCAGGCTGGCCTCCAAATCACTATATAGCAGATGACCTTGAACTCTTCAGTTTTCTGCTTCCACCTCAGTGTTGGGGTTATTGGCCTGTGCCACCATGCCTGGCTTCAGATTACTTTTAAAAAATTTTTCTTTCTTGTGCTAGAGAGATGGCTCAGCAGTTGAGAGTTCATACTGCTGTTCTAGAGGATCTTAGTTCTATTCCCAGCATCCCTGTCAGACAGCTCACAACAGCCTGTAACTCCAACTTCAGGGAATCCAATATTCTCTTCTCCAACCTCTAAAAGTATGATGTGACACACATGCCCTACCCAATAAATATCTAAATGTGTGTTGTGGGGAAGATACGGAGGAGCTAGGAGCATAACTTGATAGAGTACTTGCTTAGCATCCCAGAAGCTCTAGGCTCAATCCCTAGTACCATATAAAAACCAAGTGTACATACCTATAGTCTGAACACTTGTAAGGTAGAAACAGGAAGATCAGAAATTCAAGGTCATTCTCAGTTGAATAGCTAGTTTGAGGCCATCCTGTTTTACACTAAATCCTGTCTCAATAAGATTTGGGGACTGGAGAGATGGCTCAGCAGTACTGTACTGCTTTTATAGAGGATCTGAGTTCTGTTCCCAGCACCCAAGTTGGGCAACTCACCACTGCCTTTAACTCCAATTCCAGAGGAATTTTCTGGCTTTTGTGGGGACCTGCATACGTGTGCACAGATTTGCACACCAACACAAACATACCTACAAAAATCTTTAAAAAAGAGACATTTACTGGGCCAGGTGGCGCACACCTTTAATCCCAGCAGAGGCAGGCGGATCTCTGTGAGTTCAAGACCAGCCTGGTCTACATAGTGAGTTCCAGGACAGCTGGGGCTCCAGAGAAACCCTGTCTCAAAAAAACAAAACAAACAAACAAAAAAGATAAATAGAAGAGGCTGAAGAGATGGCTCAGCGGTTAAGAGCACTGTCTGCTCTTGCAGAGGACCCAGGTTCAGTTCCCAGCACATGGCCAGTAACAAGCATCCGTAACTCCAGTTACAGGGGATCCAATGTTCTCTTCTCACCTCTGCAGGCACTGAAGGACACATAAATGCAGGCAATACATTCATACACATAATATAAAAATAAATAAAATATTAAAAACAAAAATAGGTATAAAATAATATCACAGTTAAAGGACAAATTGACCTACATAATTTTAGATAAACCATAAACTTTGAGGGCTCAAAAATCTTTTGACATTCAGAATAGAAAAGATACTTGGAAGAGTTGTTCCTTCCTAATAATAAACCTCATATCTAGATTGTTTTACTGTAGTGTTGGTCTTCTGTACAGCTGACAAGTGAAATACAGAAGATGGAGCAAACCATAAACTCTTAAAGTGATGTTTAACATCTTTTCCATTGGAGTAATTACCATGTTTGGATTATAAATGAATATATCATAAATATATATTTAATATAAATATAATGTAAATGAATGGATTACAAATTATAAATGAATATCATCTTAGAGCAGCCATCATCATATGCTTATTCTTTAATATATTTTATTCTTTTTATTTATGAGTGTGTTACCTACATGTATGTGAGTGCACCTGTGTCATGCAATGCTGGAGGTCAGAAGAGGGCATCGGATTCTCTGGAAATGGAGTTTATAGCTGCCATGTGGGTGCTGGGAATCAAACCTGGTCCTCTGGAAAAGCAGCTAGTGCTCTTAACTGCTGAGCCAGTTCTCCAGGCCCATCATATTCTTACACCTTTGGTTGTTAATAAAAGTGATAGAGTTTGCTATCTGGTCTCTGCTTTTTGGTGTGTAAAGAAAATTTTTTCCTTTTGTTTCTCCGCCATCTTCATTATTTGGACAATGGTACCACTTAATAATAAAATTAACTCTGGAGACTAGAGAGATGGCTCAGCAGTTAAGAACACTGACGGTTCTTGCAGAAGACCCAGTTTTGATTCCCATCACCCACATGGCAGCTAACAACTGTCTGTAACTCCAGTTCCAGGGGATCCGATAGCCTCTTCTATCCACCGTGGGTATTGCATGACTTGAGTGTACTTACATACATGCAGGCATATCA